CTGTTATTTTCGTAACAAACGTTTTGCGTCTCACCTGGATTACAGGGGAGGGGGAGGCATGGTTTGGTTAGCAGGCCTTAGTGAATCGCACGCTAGCTTTTAGCGGCTTAGTGAAGAAATGCGTTGTCAACAATACAACAAACAGTCTGTCCATGAAATGTATGTCCATGAAACATATTTCCACAAAACGTTTTTCGAAGAAAGGATAGGAATTCTAAGAAAGATATGATTCTCACTAAAGATTGCTTCAGTTAATACGTCCCATCTCATCAAAAATGCTATCTGTACAAAAAGCAAAGAATGTAAGGCATCAATCATCTCGAGATAAGCGGAAGACTTTCTCTTTGTAAAGAAAACCCCAAACGTACAAGTCACAAGAAAGTAGAAGAAACGTCCCCCTCTCTGCAAAGAGTAGCGTGGTCATGATTCCAAAAACAAAAGACCCTGTGGCGGCCACAGTTTGTAAAGTTTCAGAATCAACAGCGCACGCACATAGGCAGCCCGTAAACTGCCTGTGTATTTCTTTTTTGTATGCTTAGAGTCCTAGCCAAAAAGTCTGGCAGTTCATATTCGTCCAACTACAACGCCCTGCGTCGTGGCCGGACGAATATGAACCTCTTTATTTTTGATTGTTTGATGGAACTGAAATGTCATAATTTAATATGCCCTTTTTTAACTCTTATGTTTCAAAAGTATGCGTCTGCATAAAATAGGTGTTACAAAACAAAAAATACATAAATATATGTATCCTTTTTGTGCGCTTCTTTTGGGCAGAGTGTCGCGGACTCCTAGGATGATCGCATAACTGAGATCATTTTTCCTTCTATGCGTAGTGTCTCGGGAAGGCTGATCGCTTTTAATATAAATATGATGAAACTGAAACCCCTTAGAATGGTGACCCGAAGATTTCTTTGTACAAAAATAAAAAAAAAAAAATGCTCTTTTTTTTTTTTTTTTTTTTTTTTTCAGTTACGCTTGATGTTATGATGTACAATGAATGCTTGGATTGTGAGTTGGATCTGGTTCCACATTTTGCGGATGCGGTTCGGATTCAGATAAAAAGCCTGCAGATGCGTATCGGATACAATAATGTAAAAAGTTTGCGGATGCGGTTCGGATGCGGATTAATCAAACTGTTATCCACGCAGGGCTCTAGTTATAAGTGGATTGCACTGTAGATGGTGTCAGTGTGTCCTCTCGTAAGAGATTTTAAGAGGTTCCAAGGCACTCTGTCTTAAAATTCGCAAGTGTGAGAACAGGCCTTTATGCCCCATACTCGAACAAGAATAGCCAAAAAACATGAAATACGTGCTACGATAAGCGCTGAATATGTTGGTTGACTGGAACTTTGCCCCACCAAAATGGTGACAGCGGGAAACAAGAACAAGGAAGGGGGCGTATGCATGCGCAGAAGCTTACTGGAAAAAGGTCCATTGCTGGGGTCTCTGAAAAGAAAACCCAACAGGAAGCCAGAACCCATTTGCTTGAAGCTAATTAACTTTAACCATGGTAAAAAGTTTCCCTGCTAGGTATTTACAAGTACCTAGCCAAGTTTGGCGAGGGCAGAATGAGCGATCTCCATATTTTATTATGGGGGGTAGCTGGTGCTACCTACTGGCTGTAGCAAATGTAAGTGGCTTTCAAGGAAAAGTACCCGAAAAGGAGGGACCCAAGAATGTGCGCTACCGGGTTTTCGCGACGCAGTGCGGCAAACAGCTTAAGAAACGGTTTTTGTTGCGTGTGGTACAGATATTGGATAAGGTAAAACCAAATTAACCGTTGTTTGGAAAATTTCTAAATGTTTCGCAGTCTGAAGTGAGACAAGCCTCGTTGAAATTTCGTTCTAAGTTTGAAAAAGGACGATGAACTTCAGTCCTAGAAACGATCAGCAAGTGAACACTGAAAGGCGGGTGGTACACCGGCAGCATGGTTGGTCAGCATGTAAACTGTATATAAAACCCATCATAAATTGAAAACCATGTAATTTGGTCTCAGTGAATATAGACCTATTACTAAATTACCCAAGCATCAAGAGAATGCTGAAAGTGTAATTCCACGCTTCGCACGCGCTGGCCTTTCTCATAATAAAGATTCAAAGTAAATTATCATAATAAGACTTTGACGAACGCACATGCAAGGCAAAATTTGTTTTAGGCTTTTTACTTCAGACGCCAGCACATGTAACTACACTTTTAGCATGCACCCTGGTGCATGGGAAATTTAGCAAAAGGTCTATTGGGGCACTGTCTGCTTTTGCATGCTATCATTACCCAGCTGATTGAGTCAAGGCAATCCACTATAGTATTCCAAAGACATTGCCATGCCTACAATTACCGTATTCATTTAGGCTTAGGAATGTCGAAAGCAAAAGTGGCAGCCTCCTGCACCATTCACTGCCGACTAAAGCGCCTGAGATTGCAGCTACTATGATGTATTAGTTCCACACCGAGCGACGCTCCCTCGCAGGGCCACCGCCATTTCTCCCCGCCGTACCAGTCACGTGACCTAAAATTCCTCCTCGTAGGGAAATGTGGTTAACTTTTGACCGGGATTAAAGTTAAAAGGGCAGTTCAACAATTTTTGTACTTTGTATGAATACCGCTCAAAATGAATCAGACGTTTATGACCAATAAAACACACGTTCGTTTTTCTCCCCATGCAATAAACATCACAAAAACAAAAATTATTGAAAAACGAGCAGCTTTGACTCCCTGAACTCGCAGCCACAAGATCTGGAGCCGATAAAGTGCCACCTATGTTGATCATAGCCACGCGCTGAGGTTGGCAAAGCACAGGACACGTGCTAAGTTCCAGATATTGTTAGGCTTCGGCTATTGTCGTCATTGTTGTGATTAGAGACGGGTCACTACCCGTTAACACGCAGGTTCAGGCGAGTTGATCGGTCATTTGTACAGGGGGAACAGCAGACCCGCAAAACAGTCACTCAAGTCCACACACAAAAAAAAAAAGACAATTACTCAGTGCTGACTAACAACTCTGGTATATTTACTTTTTTCTTTGTCTTCTTTTTGTATTATGAACTAGAGCCATGGAAAATAATTGGTCTTATTTCCTTCAATGGGAAGCTAAACTGTAAACTAACTCAAATTGAAATTAATGTAAGGCTACGTAGTCTAATTTTTTATGACGAGGATAAAGACGGAGTACTAAAACCTCTCTCATTATGTTTTGCGGCATTCTCTGCCTCAATGATTTCTCAACTTAAATTAAAATTAATGTAAGGCTAGGTAGTCTAGTCCTTTTTGTAATAAGTTTAAAGACTGAGTACTAACACGTCTATCGTTACGTTTTGCTGTAATCTCTGCCTCAATTTCTCAATGAGAGAAACCATTGAGGCAGAGAATATCGCAAAACGTAACGATAGATGTGTTAGTACACCATCCTTAACCCTATCACAAAAAGAATTCCCTGTCTGCACTAACCGTGTACAACAGCAAAAGTGGTAGAACATACATTTCAGCCAAGAGTATGGGATGTTGAACGCTATGCAGGCTACTGCTAAAATGAGAGATTGTTTTTGTTATCTCAAATGTGAAGACATGCTGATATTTTTTATGGAAATGAGCTTGCAGTCAGTCAGTTTAGTAAGACAAGCTAAAAAAGGGGGATCGGTGGACTAGCACACACCAGCTCGGAGCACGTGGAGCGAAAGCTCGCGCTGCAGAACCCAGGAATCCTGGGCTCAATTGCCACCCCTGCACGTTTCTATCTGGATGAGTATCGTACCGGCATGCGGTCGAATATCACTACTGCATGATGCACGTTAAAGACCCCAGGCTAGCAATTGTACTGCACTGGCTAAATTGATCATTTACAGCAAGTGACTCGTCGCATCAATTATCAAGACAAGTTAAAACTGCTGTGTGGCAGAAGCTTTTGCTGTATGTGCCCCGAGCTGCAATACGGTAGGAGGAAAGCCTTGGTAGGTAGGAAAGATTGCATGTTTTATCTTTACTGAAAAATATACTGGTTGAAGTTTCCAGTTAATTAATGACAGTCAAAATGGGGAGTTTGTTGGCTGTACCATACGGTTGTGCAGGAAAATATATTGTTTGTTGGGATGTTAATGGTCGTTAAAGACCCTAGGCTAGCAGGGGTACTGCACTGGCTACATTTCTCACCTACAGCTGAGACACCTGATGCCCACTGAGGCTGACTAACTTCTGGCTGCCTAAAGACAAGCACACAACATAATTGTTTTAGGGCTACAAAGTGATGTGACTAGGAAACTGTGTACAGATTGCATAACATGCCACATGAGAAATTTAGTGCAACTAAATTCTGGTGAAGGGGATCCCATACCTGCCAACCTGTGGACTTTCAAATTTGTAAAAGTTCCGCAGCCGCGGCGGGGGAGGTGACGCGAAGCGATGTGCAGCTTAATGTCAGCCTGGCCAGCGTGCGAAACGCTCACATCACACGTGCACGTGCTACAGAATCCAAACTTCTCTCGCTTTTTGGGTGGCATGAAGCACGGAAATTTCGAGGTGTAGGACTTCATGAACACCTGAAAGTACCTCTTTTGAGGTTTGGAGTTTGGTATTGCGCCGCAAAGCCACAGTGACCAAGAGAATGCTACAGTTACACGTGCAACAAACACAGACGCTATACTTCTCGCCTCGAAACTGTCCGAAGCAACGAGGCCCAACAACGTCTGAGCACGCCGAACCAATGTGCACCCGTGCACCGCCGAACACAAGGCTTTGAGCTTTGGATTGGTTTTCGATCCGTGGCCACCGGATAGACAAATAGTTAGAACCACGACGCTGCTGTGGACGGTACCTATCTTCCTCTTGTGGCGGTGCAAGATACCGCCAACAACAGAGTTACAAAAAAAAAAAAAAAAAAAAAAGGTTTTTGTAAGGTTTGAAGCAAGATTCGTAAAATCGTAAAATTACTCCCAATTCATACATTTTACGAAAAATTAGGAAGAGTTGGCAGGTATGGAATATAGCCAGGAATAGGAGGGGCAAACCAACCGGGAGCGAGCAGCTAGTGGCAAGGGTTGAACAACGGAGTCTGGCGTGCCCCGTGCAAGTCGACTCGGACGATAATCCAGATGAGTGTTTCAGCAACAACCAGACAAACTGTAATGACCCGAGGCCCTTGCGGGAATTCTCGGCGGCGACCCAGGGCACCTGCAGACGAGAAGCTGGAATGATAATTCACCGGCAGGAGCAACTCTTGGCAGCGACTTGAAGGAACCCACCCAACTATCTTTAATTCTGGCAGGTGCTTGAGGCATTGCCATTTTAAGATTGGTCAGTGCCCGCAAGAGGCTGAATCCAGGTGCCACTGTTAGAGCAGCTGGATTCGATGACCAAGCAGGTGAACAGCTGGTGTGCCGGAGCTTCAGGACGGTGACAAGACCAGTGACGAGAACCGGAAAATCAAGCCCACACAAACTGAGTATGATTCAAGTTTATTTGCACATTTGTATATATTTTTACCGTTTTCTAAATATACTTTCTTTAATCCTATAACGGTCCAGCCAACTCGTTTCTCATTTGATATGGTGACAAGAGGGTCATTGTTTGTGTTGAGAGACTGCTTCATGCCTGTGAAGGCCTAGGTAGGTTGAAATAATCAAACGAGGTTCCACTGTTTCAGGAGGTATGCAGTCAACCCGCATTATTCTAGAAACAAATTTGAAGTTGCAAATTTTGTGATACTTCACAAGAGCATGCCAAAGCTTTGATAAGTGTCCCTAAAGTGCGACTATCTTATATTTCGCATATAACCGTGTGAAGGTCCTTCGCAAGCGAACCTGTGCGACTCCGCGGTACAGATTCGGCGTTGCAGCCTCCCGCGGTGCGGAACCCTTCCGAATGTCTCGGAGTTGAGCGAAGGTGGCTGCTATCGTAGGCAGTTTCTCGGATGTGCGCTTCTAGCGGTCGTGCACCAGTCTAAACAACTGTTCGTGTGGGACTGGTTCAGCTGGTCTGGCATTGTACGTACGCACCTTCCGAACACGACATTTCACGTTTTAAATGCAAACAAGTCTATCGTCTTTTCTCCAGCTACGCTTAAAGGCTTCAGTAGCTCGGCGTACAATACAAACAGTATCGCCTCCATCAAACTGACACTGGCATTCTGGAGTGCGGCGTGTTTCAATGCGCGGAGATGCTCGAGACTATAAAAACACAATTACATAAACTAGAAACCACAAACCTTTGGAAGCTTGCGAGATAAAGCCCGCGCGCACATCAGCGTAAAGTTGTAAACACGTCCACTGATCTAGAGATCAGTGAACACGTGAACACGTCCGTCCGCGTCAGTCCGCGTCGTCTCGGCCGTGCCGGCCGTGCAATCGCATCTTTGGGCGTCATTTATTGCTAGCGCAACGACTTTTGTTCGTAATTAAAAGTATCGCGAACTATTTTAACCCTTATTGCAACCCGCGCAACTGCCCATTACAGTGAATTTGTAATTAAAACAAAACAAAACTAAAAAAGAAGCTGCTGCCGCTAAAAAGAACAGCCAGTGACGTCATAGTCACGTGGACCAATAGGAGTCGACATAGTTTTGTTTTGTTTGTTTTTGTTTTTTTGTTGGCTCCGCCCCCCTGTACTGGGTAGGATTTCAAAATACGCCGCCCGGTGTGTCATCCTCCCTACATCGTCATCGTTGTATTCATTATTTATACGCGTATATATGTATAAATAATATAAGATAGTTAAAAGGCACACAATCGAAGAGCCAGCGGCGCGCCCACCGGGCACTGCCTTTGAAGGAAAACGCTAGCCTCAAAATCATGAACTATCATCATCATCATCATCATTTACTGCCCGATAGCCGAGACCTCCCCGACGATAGATGGCTCTCGCCAAGCCGCAAACTCAATGGGGAAAACGTCACGGCTGCGGAACGTCCAGCCATTCTGTTATGGAGTCGCCGACGCGCTGACGCCAGCGAGCTCCAAAGTCCAAAGCGACCGAGCGAGAGCAACCGTTCGCGCGCGGAGCCCGAGATATAAACATCTGTCCCGCCGCTTCGCGCGTAACCTGAGCGCCCCGTACCAGAGGCGCCTTTCTTTTATTTCGTTTTAGATTTAATAAACGAGACGTCAGTCTTCAGCCTGACTCCGGCACGAAAGGTTGTCCATGTGTGCCCTTCGCAAAAGAACGTAAAACGAAACATGGTGTCAGAAGTGGGATCGCTCCGCGAGTCTGCTAATGATTGGTAAAGCGTAGGATCGTTCCGCGAGTCTACTAATAATTAGTAAAGCGCAGGATCGACTACAAACGAAGGAACAATGGACAATCCCTCAACTTCTGCCGACAACGGTGCTACCGAACAAACGGTAACGGCAACTTTTCGCATCTCGCCACCCGAAGCCTTCAGTTTTACAACACCTAACGAATGGCCGGCGTGGAAGAAGAGATTCAAGCGCTTCCACAGTGCATCAGGACTGGTATCTCAACCATCATCACACCAAGTCGACGCTCTCATTTACATCATGGGACCACAAGCTGAAGACGACTTACAGACCTTCAAGCTGTCCGACACCGAGGCTCAAGACTTCGACAAGGTGATGGAGAACTTCGAACATTACTTCATTCCTCGTCGAAACGTGGTGTATGAGAGAGCCATGTTCAACACAAGATCGCAACTGGAGACGGAAACCGTCGAGGAGTACGTCACTGCTCTCCATGGATTAGCCACTACGTGCAACTATGGACCACTGAAGGAAGAATTGATCCGCGACAGGCTGATTGTTGTTCTTCGGGACAGCAGGACCTCAGAAAAACTTCAACTGGATCCTGATCTGGACCTCCAGAAGGCCATCGCTGCTGCGCGACAATCGGAAGTGATTAAGAAGCAACAAGTGGAACTCCGACCGACAAAAGAAAAGGATGCCAACGTTGACCGTATAGCAGCCAAAACTGGGACAGCAGCAGGACCTGCTCAGCGAGGAATTGAACGTTCAAATGTTCGAACTCCTACTAAGAAGACCGCGACACCCAAACCAAAAGGCAAACCGTGCCGTTGGTGTGGTCGAGAAGCTCACCCGAGGAACGTGTGTCCGGCGAAGAACGCAGGCTGCAACAGGTGTAGGAAAAAGGGACATTTTGCAACAGTCTGCAAATCTTCAACTACCGTGAACTCCCTCGTACACGAACAAGGATTCGTAGGAGCTGCAGCTTCTCCTCAAACAGCAAAATGGGACATCGAGATATTCGTCGACGAAACTCCTGTTGTTTTCCGAATAGACACTGGAGCAGACGAAACGGTGTTACCAGCTGCCATCTTTCAAAAGGTCTTCGCAAAGTGCCACAAGCTCTCCGAACCCCAACGGCGACTTCATGGTCCAGACGGACGACCCCTTAAAGTCATGGGATCAGCTCGGATGAAGCTCAACTGCCGTGGGCAACAAGCACTCGAAGAAGTTTACATCGTGAAAGGACTTCGCAAACCTCTCTTGGGTAAGCCAGCTATCGAAAAATTTCGGCTTTGCCCTCAAATCTGCATGACTGCGAACAAAGCTTGCGAACCGAAGAAAGAGTTCTCTCACCTGTTTCAAGGACTGGGATCTCTCGAAGGTGCTCACGTTCTGAAGCTGAAACCTAACGCGACGCCGTTTGCTATCGCATCACCGAGAAGAGTACCGCTTTCGCTGTATCGAGAAACGCAGAAAGAGCTAGAAAGCATGCAGTCGCAAGGTGTCATCTCTCCAGTAGAAGAACCTACTGAATGGTGCGCGCCGATGGTCATCGTCCCCAAACCGTCTGGCAAAATTCGCATTTGTGTTGATCTCACACAACTGAACAAACACATTCAGCGCGAATATCACCCTATCCCATCAGTGGAGCACACGCTGGGAAGGCTAGCGGGAGCCAAGATCTTCTCAAAGCTGGACGCGAATTCTGGGTTCTGGCAGATCCCTTTAGACGAGAAGACACGACTCCTGACGACATTCATCACTCCGTTTGGAAGATTTTGTTTTAATCGCCTACCATTCGGAATCACGTCAGCACCGGAACACTTCCAGAGACGTATCACACAACTTCTCCAAGGAATGGAAGGAGTACTTTGCCACATGGACGATATCTTGATATGGGCGTCATCGTCCGAGCAACACGAGCAACGTCTGCGAGAAGTCCTCAGGCGACTCTCATTAGCAGGACTCACGCTCAACGAGGATAAATGCGTCTTTCGAGTGACAAGTATCAAGTTCCTAGGTCATCAAGTAGACAGCGGTGGTGTCTGTCCAGACGAGACAATCGTCAACGCAGTGAAACAGATGCCCATACCGACTTCAAAGCAAGAAGTCAAGCGCATCATGGGTATGGCGACGTACCTAGGACGATTCGTGCCACACCTGTCTGACCTACTGCATCCACTATCGTCACTGCTCAGTTCCAAAGTGGACTTCGTGTGGGATCATCCTCAGCAGAAAGCCTTCACCAAATGGAAGGAAATCCTCTCAACCTGCCCCGTTCTCAGAATTTACGACGCCAACAAACGATCGATTGTATCGGCAGATGCGTCATCCTACGGCCTGGGAGCAGTGCTGCGTCAAGATCAGGAGGATGGATCATATCGCGTCATCGCCTATGCGTCCAGAACACTCACCGAAACAGAGAAGAGGTACGCCCAAATCGAAAAAGATGGTTTGGCACTCACGTGGGCATGCGAAAAATTCCGAGATTACATCGTGGGAACGCACTTTGTACTGGAAACCGACCACAAACCACTCATTTCTCTGTTCGGGTCAAAGTCATTGGACGACCTAACCCCACGGCTTCAGAGACTGCGCATGCGTTTAATGCGCTACTCATTCGAAGTTGTCCACGTTCCGGGCAAGGAACTCCAAGCAGCTGACTCGTTGTCAAGAAGCCCTCTGCCACAGCGGCAAGACAGAGCGATGCAAGAAGAAATCGATTGCTTCATTCGACACATAGAGACGTCCCTACCAGCAACGCGAACGAGTCTCCAATGGATAACGGCAGAACAAAACAAAGACCATGTTAGCCAAAGACTCGCCAGCTACAGCCATAGAGGTTGGCCAAATCGTCGAGATCTCGGAACAGACCTCAAAGAGTACTACGAGTACCGTCATCACATTGCCGTGCAAAACAGCCTCCTCATGAATGGTTCTAGAATAGTGGTACCAGAATCCTGCCGTCCACATATTCTGCAACAACTTCATGAAGGACGACACATGGGCATAGGCAAATGCAAAGCACGGGCAAATGTATCGGTATGGTGGCCGAGGATAAACGATCATATCGAGCGCCTGGTCAAGAACTGCGAAAAGTGCATTAAAACTGGCCAGAACCGAAAGCTCCCCCTCATCCCGTCAGAGTTTCCTAGTCGACCGTGGGAGAGAGTGGCGATGGACCTCTTCTTCATTCACGGGAAATGGTGGCTGGTCGTCGTCGACTACTACTCTCGCTACCCCGAAATCGCTCGACTGGAAAGCCTCACAGCAGCGTGCGTAATAATGCACTGCAAATCGATATTTGCGAGGCATGGCATCCCAGAAGTAGTGGTATCTGATAATGGTCCTCAGTTTGCGGGAACCACAGGTTCAGCATTCACCAAGTTCTCACAAACCTACGGATTTAAGCACATCACATCAAGCCCTCGCTACGCGCAGAGCAATGGGATGGCGGAGGCTGCGGTGAAGATCATAAAGAGATCACTCAGCAAAACAGAAGATCCGTACGAGACACTCATGATCTCCCGTTCAACGCCTCTGCCCAATGGATACAGTCCGACAGAACTTCTCATGGGGAGAAGGATGCGTACAACCGTACCGATCGCCACCCAGCTCCTGGAACCAAAGCTACCCGACCAAAAAGAAGTGCGTCGCTATGAGCAAGAAAACAGGAACCGACAAAAGCAATACTTCGACCGGCGACACGGAGTGCGTCAACTCGATCCACTCGGCTCTGGGGAGCGAGTTTGGGTCACTGACCTAAAGCGAAGCGGAGTTGTTCAGAACAAGGCCCATACACCACGATCTTACTGGATAACGTCCGAGGGTCAAGAGATCCGAAGAAATCGCACGCATTTAATTCCTTTCCCCGACGAACAAGATAAACAAAGCATCGAAGAGCTCCCCGAAACAACCACGAGGCCCGAGGAAACGTGTGCCGACACCTCCCACAAACATTCTCGGCACGGCCGGTGTGTAAAAGAGCCAGACCGTTTCGGCACTTCTTCGAAGCTCCCTTAGAAAGAGGGATGTTATGGAGTCGCCGACGCGC